AATTTTTGGTTCAAATAAATATATTTACTTGATAAAAATAAATATTTATTTAATACAAATAAATATTTACTTAATATAAATAAATATTTACTTGAATACAAATAAATAATATTTATTTAATAATAATCAATTAACCGAATATTTGAATAAAATAATATTTTTTAATTATTAATTATAATAATTATTCTTAAAAATATTAGAGGTGTAGAATATTTTCATTACAGAAAAAATTTATAAAATATAGGTACATATTCTAAGAGGACTGAAAGAACTATTAAGAGAGAATTTTAAATATTATATTAAAGAACGGACGACGACCCGAGAAGGCTTAGAAAAAAAAGGACGAAAGAATTTCAACGATGCGCGCGTGAGTTATAAAAAATTTTCTTTCATCTCTGATTATTTGTTTAAAGGTAAGGGAGCAACAACAAAAATAACTAATGTTTACAATAGACGAGAAAAAGTTTCCGTTTTTTTATAAACTAAAAAAAAATTATTTATTAATTAACTAATTTATTTATTTATTTATTAATTTATTAATTTACTAATTAATTTATGGACTAACTTTCTAATTAACTATATAATTACTTAATTTATTAATTTTTAATTAACTAATTTATTTACTAATTAATTAATTACCTAATGAATTTATTAATAAACTAACTAATTAATTACCTAATTAATTAACTAATTAACTAATTAACTAATTAATTATAATATTAACTAATTAATTAATTATTTCAATATGTAATTAATTATCTAATAAATAAAGTAACTAATGAATTAATTAACCAATTAATCATCTAATCAATTAACTAATTAATTACTTAATTAATTTATGAACTATCCAATTAATTACCTAATTAAATAATTATTTCACTAATTGATTAATTAATTTATTAATTAACTTTCCAATTAACTAATTCACTAATCAATTAATTAATTGAATAACTAAAAAATTGTAATTAATAAAATAACAGAAATTAAGCAATAATAAAAAATAATTATTATAATATAAATTTAATATTGTACAGTTATTATATTATATCATTATAATTTTATATATACATATAAACGTTATATATATGCACATTTCCATAATATCAGACAATCAATAAATAATCGTTATGTGGGTGTTCATTCACTGTGAAAATATTCAGATATTGCATGAGGAAGTCACGAAAACGTGGGATTGTTAAAAAAAAAAGTTCTTTGTTTACAAGTATTATTATTTTTTTTATAAATATATATGTATATATGTTAATCATTTGAGAATGTCCTTTTCAAAAAAGTAATTAACACATAACATAATTTGTTTTGACAAATTGTTATAAAAAAATTATTAAAAATATATTTGTTAATTTATTTTCATAATTAATGTATAATAATAAATAATAATAATTATTATTTATAAATAATAAATTTATAATAATAAATATTTATAATAATAAATAATAATTGTTCATAAATAATTAATCATTATTATTAATATCATTAATACAATAAATATATTGTTAAAAATAAATTTAAAAAAAAAAACAATCCGAATTTTACATATTAATATAAATTTTGTAATTTAATGTAGATATGTCCAAACGAAATTAATTAAACCTCTTTTGTATCTTGTATATATAGAAAGCGAGGATTCACGCATGGTAAGTTAAAAATATTGAGTAACTTGGAAATATTTCATCAACATGAATTTTTTATCTATATAAAGCAAGTTTTTTTGTGCACGTATATATATATATTTAAATTCAACATCAGCTGCTGGTTTTTAAAATTTTAATTTTCTCTTAATTTCTCCGAAAACAAAAAAAAAAAATCATTCTTAAAATTAAAATAAAAAAAAATTACATTTACCGAATATATATTAATTTTCTACTTCAATAAAACTTAACAATATTTTATTATATTATATAGTTCATCTTTATTGCACATGAGGTAACGTATTAATAATAATTGGTGCAACCTTCGTCATGATGATGATCATCATAATAATGGTCATCGAGAATGATTAGAGATTCGAATTGAATGACAAAATAGAAAATATTTAAAAATAAATTAAATTATTAAAAATAATAAAAGAACGAAAATTATAATTTATATATTTATGTTTATAATTAATATATTTGTATATTAATTATTAAATTAATTATTAATTATTAAATTAATTATTAATTTATTAATTAATTAGTACTATATTATTATAATTATTTTTATTACATTTATAATTATTAAAATAATTATTTATATATTTATAATTAATTTATATTTTTTAAAATAGAAAAACTGTAATAAAAAATTATTAATACAGATTTCACTGTCGTAAAAAAAATATAGAAATTAATAAAAAAAAAAATCATATTGAACATTGTGAAATCGCTTTAAAAGAAAAAATCAGGAAAGAGAGCAAGAATATTGGCTTATCTTTATTTGAATCTTTTTGTTTTTTCGTTTATAAACCATGCGTTTATAATTGGATATATCATAATACACACACACACACAAGGCAAAAAGGTGAGGAGTGGCTCTCGCAATTAAAATAAAAAGAAACAGAAAACAACCACGTGGGATTCTTTATCCAAACAATTGCAATAATGAAACCGAAAGTACCATTGTACAGGAAATACAGACATTATACACGAGAGTATTCTTTATCTTTATACAATATAAATTGTAGGTATATATATATTTTATAATTTACAATATCAGTTAATAAACCTTTTTAATATAAACTAAAAATTAAAAAAAAAAAAAAAAAAAAAAAAATTCTAAAATATAAAATTAAAAATATGAGAAAAATTTATAAATATTAAAATCAAAACAAATAAAATAAAAAAATAATAAAAAATAAAATAAACAAATAAAAATATTTAATAAATAAAAGCCAAAATAAATAAAAATAATTTTAATAAAATAAAATTAATAAAAATTAAAAATATATTTCCTTGTTTAAATTAAAATAATGAAAAAGAATTTTAAAAGAAGAAAACGCGCGTGAACTAATTTACACACCTTAGTGCACCTGCGTTCTACTCTTTTTCCCTACCTCGCACGCGAGAAAGATAAGAATTGCTTTGAATTGTTTAGTTACAATATATATATAGAAATAATATTTGTTTAAAAAAAAAAAAATAAAAATAAATAAATTTAACCCTATATTTATTTATTAATTTCGCAAAAAAAAAAAAAAAAAATACCAACGATTTTTTAATAATCAAGTGATTGACATTAAAAAAATTTCCATGCCAAAATATTCTCTTTCTCTCGCCAAAAATTAAACAACAAAACTCGAAATAAAGAAAATGTATTAATTAATTACACATTTAATATATGAAAATAATTAAATTTCCATCTCTCTTAAAATCAATATAAAAATATAATTAATTAAATTTAAAAAAAAAATAATAAATAAACTTAAAAAAATTTTAGTAATAAAAATAAGAAATTAATATAAAAAAAATTACAATTTATTTATTTACATATATAAATAAATAATTATATTTCATTTAATTAATATTAATAATATAAAATTTTAAAAAATAAATAAATTTATAGTAAAATAAAAAAAATTAAATTAAAAAAAAATAATAAATAATAAAAATAAAATTTATAGATGAGACGTCTCAAAAATCTGTATTTTTTTTTTTCATCGCAGTTTTATGACATGATAATGCGATGACCATGTAACTAAATCAAGCGCATAAAAGCAATTATATTGCTGTTAAAAACAAAGTGAAGGTGATTCTTTTAGGATTCAAGATAATTTTACGGATCATCGCGCACCTTTCTTCCGATTCTCAAGAAAATCGCCCTCTCTTATACTTTACATTTAAACATATTTTTTAATTCCAAAATAATTTTGTTTAAAAAAAAAAACAAAAAAAAACTGTTTTTTGTGTAAACAACAAAAATTATGAAAATAGTTTTTTTTTAATAAATTATTTATTTTTATTATTTGTTTGTTATTAGTATTTTTTAATTTATTATTAAAATTAAATATTAATTAAATTATAATAATAATTATAATAATAATTATAATAATAAATTTTTATTATTAAGTTTATTTTTTAAAATTAGAAAATAATATTTATTAAATATAAATATAATAAATAATTTTTTTATAACTTGAGATATGTTCTGATAATTATATATACATATATGGAAAAAAAAGTGGGTCACTTCGAAATTATTGTTTTAAAATATAATTTGAAATCCTTGAGAAGAATCAGCTTACAGGTAGGTTATATAGCATTGAAAGGCCACTTAGGTTGCACTTTAGGTGCGGAAGAGAGATATTGCATTGTTACGAATCAGCTGTATATATGTTATATTCTCCGTTCATGTTACACATACGACTTTTATCTTCATTTTTCAACAGATATGATTTTACACGAAAAAAAAATGTTTTTTTCTCAAAAAATCAAATTGTTCATTTAATTAAAATTGCATTTCGAAAACTTATTCAAAAAAAAAAACTTCCAACAGGATATTCTAATACATAAATATCAGGTAATTTTCCATTCCGAACATTTCGTATAATTAAAAAAAATAAAACTATATTTATTACATTTTTATTTTTTAATCACCGTCAAAGAAATTATACAAAGGAAAATATGCAACATTTAAAGAAAAATTAGGAATTTTTTTTTTTTTAAAAACAAAATAAAAAATATATCAACACATATTTTTTACACATACGATTTATAAAGTAGGTATTTTATCAAGCACTTGACAAATCAGATAAAAATTATAAAAACCACTCAATTAATATCACATTTAGAGAAATAAATAAAATTTGTATTCCTTTTTTTTTTTTTTTTTTTGAATAAAAAATTATTTTTTAATATAATTTTAAATATAATTTCTCATTATAAATTTTTTTTTTCAAATAAATTTCATATCATGGAAAATTGATTAAAAAAAAATTTATGATAATTAATTAAATAAAATGATAAATAAAAAGGAAATATTTAAAAATAAAAATTTTTATTTACCTGTTAACCGGATGAAGGAGAGAATTAATCACCAAACATAAAACGAACGAAACACACAGCGCGCAAACCCGCACTTGACTGACTTGAAAAGGCGCTTTTTCACTTCGTTAAAACTCGACAAACTTCGCTTATTATCGTATATATATATATGTATACATATATGATTGCCACGCGGATGACGATCACCTGGCGCAAATCTCGCGATAAACTGGATCACCTGTTCTTCATCAAATTTTTTTTTTTTATTTTTTTTACCTGATAAAGAAACTTCATTTCTGATTATTTTTGAAAATACAAAAGAAATTAAAAATTTTTTTTCCAATTGTTCGAAATGAAAAAAAAAAACGTTTCATGTAATTTTTTTTTTTATAGCCGAATATAAAAACGTTATTATACTGCATAAATAAATAAATAAAAACATTCCCACGATTAACTCTATATATTTATTAATTATAAAAATAATTTTTTTTTAAATTTATAAATAATATAATAATAAATATATAAAAATAAATAATAAAAAATGAAAAAAAAAAATTTCGAATTTTTTATTTATAATAAATTGCGTATAATTTTAATTAAAAATTAAAATATTCAGAATTATTATTATTTAAATATTGAGAATATTATACTTTTTTTTGGAATTTTAAAAATAATTTTCTGTTAATAAAAAAAAAGGAAATCAAGTTACCGACTGTTGATATGCATTGCAAAGTCTGAGAAAACATTTAACAGATGTCAGCACAGAAAAAAATCTATTCAAAGCCAAAAATGGCGGGATTATTTAATTATCATGAAAAATTAAATATTTTATAATTTCATAAAATTGTCTCCTACAAAGGACTAATAATATAATTATTAAAATTATAATCAAAATTAATCACTTGCGATAATAAAAACAGATCATCATCATTTGTTATATCGTCAAAATTAGGTTGAATAAACAAAAATTATATCTTCTCTAATTTCATCTAATTAACAAAAAAATTTTCCAATTCACTATAATGAAATTTTCTGAATATTTAATAAACACGATTTTGTCGCATTAAGACGCCAGAATTATTGTGTCAAAGTTACAATAAGACCATAGAGTATAAATTTCGAAGACCAGTACATTTTATAATAAAAAATAAAAATAATAAAATAAAAAAAAATAATAAAAAATAATAAAATAAAAAAAAAATATAAAAAATTTAAAAAAATCAATTCGAAAAATTAAAAAAAAAATCGATTCGGAATTTTTTTTGAAGAAATGTTGAAGAAAAAAATGGATAATTATTTTGATTACGCGGTAAATTTAAATCGATTTAGTATGCGATTTCTTGGTTTATGGCCAATTGAAAATAATAAATTTTCTAATTTTCTATTTTGTTTGGCAATTTTTATTACAATTCAATCGGCAATACCAGTTTTTTTCTATCTCACAACGATAACAATAATTTTAAAAGATTTAGACGCCTTAATTTTATTCCTAACAATGATAACATCAACATTTAGATTAATTTTTGTGAAAATTCATAAAAAAAAATTAACAATTATTATCAATGAAATGATTAATGATTGGAAGAATTCATCAAAATTAAGGAAAAGAATAAAGAAAATTTTTATTTCAAACGCCAATTTAGGAAGGAAAATTAATATTTTTTTTACAATTATTCTTTTTACTGCTGGATTTGGTAAGTAATTTAAAAAAATAAATTTTCTTTTTCACTAAAAAATTTTAAGAAATAAAAAAATTGTAAAAAATTAATTTATTTATTTATTGAAAAAAAATTATTTTTTTTTTTTTTTAGTTTACATAGTGTCACCAATATATTTACAATGGAAACAAATGTCAATTAATGGAACGAGTCATATATTAATATTTAAATCACAATATCCTGTTGATTTTGAAAAATCACCAACTTATGAATTACTATTTTTGTCACAAATTTTTTCAACTATCTATTTATGCATCACAGTCATTGCATCAGACACTTTTTTAGTTGTAATTTTACTTCATTTGTGTAGTCAATTAGAAGTGATTGCAAATAATATAAGATATTTGAATTGCAAAAATTTAAATTTTCATTTGCCAATGATGGGATTTAGAGATTGTCATTGTTTTAAATGTATCATTGAACATCATGTTCAGTTACGAAGGTATTAATTATTAATGTAATATAAAAAAAATTATTATTAATTATTTTTTATATTTACTGGAAATAATAAATTTTTTAATTTAATTTTTGTAGAATTTTTACAATCGTTTTTTTTATAAATTTTAATTTTTTCCTTTACTCTCAAAAAATTTTGATTTTTGCAGAAACTATTCGATTTATAAATTTTAATTACTTTAATTTTTACCGAAATTTTACTCACTTTATAAAAATTTAATTTAAATTTTGATTTTTGCAGAAATTACTTGTTTTATAAATTTTAATTTTTTGCCGGAAATTTTTAGTGGTTTTATAAAATTTTTTTTAAATTTAATTCCAAAATTTAATTTTAATTTTAAATTTGGTTTTAATTTTTGCAGAAACTTGAAAATTATCCAGGATACATTTAATGTTACCATGTTGATGCAGTTCACTAGCAATGTAATAGTTTTATGTATTCAAGGTTACACTATTGTAAAAGTAAGTAATTTATTTTCTAAAAATTTTTTTTTTTTTCAAAAAAAAATATATTAAATAAAATATATTAAATGCCAGATAATAATTTTTTTTCTGTTTTTCGTATTCTCTCCTCTGATTAATTAATTAAAAAAAAAAAAATTTTTTTAGGCAATGTCTGATGGAAACCTTTTTGGCCTAATCAGTTACATTCTTTATATTTTCTTCTCTACATTTAATGTTTTCATGTACTGTAGTCTTGGAGAACGTGTAATTCAAAAGGTGGTTTTTAAAATTTTTTTATTATTATAATTAAAAAAAAAAAAAAAAAAAAATTTCTTATAAAATTTTTTAATTTATTATTATTTATTTTGCAATCAATATTAGAGTGTATCTATTAGTCGTGAAATATATGAAATGAGATGGTATCGTATGGACATAAAATATAGACGATTGTTAATTATAATTATTAACCGTTCAAATAAGCCATTTGAACTTAAGGCAGGACATTTTTTTACCATGTGCTTGGCTACTTATAAAGGTGTAAGTTTTTTTTTTTTTTTAATTTATAGAAAAAATCTATATTTATTTCGACAATAGTAAATGAAACCGATTATTTTTTGAACCAAAATATTTTTTTTCAGTGTGTTAAAATTTTTTTAGTCAAATTTTCTGTTCAAAAAAAGAAATTAATCTTTTTTTATTTTCTCTATAACAGATAATCGTGACAGCATTTTCGTATGCCTCTTGTCTCCTGGCATTAAGTGAAAAATAAATTTATTTTTTTTTTAAATAAAAACAAATATATTTAATTGTAAAAATTACGAACATTTAATTTAATAAAATTGTAGCGGCTATAATTATAATTTTAATATCAATAGAAGCGCCTGTAGAATTACAAACCAAACTACGTTGTTGTATAATTTTTTATTTTTCGTCAAATTAAAACCTTTTTTTTTTTAACCAAAGTTTTCAAAAAAGTTTAAAATAATAAAATTGAAGAATTATTTAAATTAATTTATTAAATTCACGAAAAATTAATTATAATATATAACCAATATTTTTTTTTTATCGAAAGGATAAAATTATTTGATCAAGAAAAAATTTGTACAAGTGACCCAAAGAAAAAAATTTTTTTTTTTTGATTGTGAAACTTTATATCTTTTTAATTCATTGACAAAAAAAAATTAAGCATCATTGGATTTATCAGGAAGATAATTAACTTTTTAAAATCGCTTTTTGACATTTTTTTTTTCTGCGAATACAAAATTTTAATATATATATATATATATATATATATAAACTACCAAAAATTTTATTTAAGGCACAAAGACAAGTGTATATTATCATTAGTACGCACACAAAAAAAAAGAAACTTAATTTTGAGAAATTTATTAATGGATCCCGCGTATCATTGTTACTCGAAATCATATTATAATCTATAATAATATAAATTGAGAAATTTAATATCGCGGCGTTAAACGGCGATAAGCTTTCTTAATCGTCTTTAATATGATAAAGTTGATAATAATCCTAATTGTATTAAAAAAACTTATTGTGATATTTTTCACAGTAAATTTTGCCGCCGATATTTGCTCAGAAATTTTGTAATGTATAAATTGACGAATGAAATCATTAAAATTTCGAAATGGATTTATAAACAAAAACTAAAATTTTTCAGGAATCATTAAAAAAAAAAAAAAAAAAAAAATTAATTTTTGTTATTAAGGGAATTTAACAAATTCACAAGAAAATTTTCAATATTTTTACTTTTCACCAATTCATATATAATAATTAATATTTTTTTGCTTTGTGAAATAGCAATTATTTAAAAAAAAAGAATTAATTTAACAAATATTAAAAACAAATTTTCTTTAAACATTTTTAATAATAATGGTTTGAAAAAATATTATTATATAGTAAAATAAAAAATAGATTATTGCGAGGACTTTCTCTCTCTTTCGAAAAAAAAAATGTTCATTCCTCGTTTCAAATTATGGATAACGAAGCATTGTTCTTGTATAAAGAAAATAGTAAAAGAAACTAAATGACAGTTGCGTCTCTAAATTATCAAATTTTATGAGCTTTTAATTGTTCATAAAAAATTTTCTAATAATTATTCACAACAATAATTATCGGCCTCACATTTTCCAATATTTATGGTTTTTTTTTCTCTTTTAATAGTTTTAATTTCTTTTTCTCTAAAATTTAAATTAAAAATTCGTTCACTTCATTTAATTTAGTAGAAAATTTCTATTAATTTTTAGCAATTTTTTCACTAAAATTTTAGTAAAAAAAAAAAAGAAATATATTACTAAATCAAATTTCACTAAAAATTAGTAAAAATTACTACTATAATTTTTAGTCATTTGTCACTAAAAATTAATAAAAATTTCTATTATAATTTTTAGTCATTTGTCACTAAAAATATCCAAATTCAGTAAAAAAAAAATATTACTAAATCAAATAGTAATGTTTCACTAAAAATTAGTTTTTTCTAAAAAATTAATGAAAAATTTCTACACTAATTTCTAGTTATTTTTCACTAAAACTTTAGTAAAATAAATATTACTAAAACATTTCTACTATAATTTTTAGTCATTTGTCACTAAAAATTTAGTAAAAAAAAAAAAAAATTACTAAATCAAATAGTAATTATTTACTCTAAAAATTAGTAAAAAAAATTTCTAGCAATTCGTTCTAAGTGAACAAATTTTAATTCTAATTCTGTTTCAAATAAAAAAAAAATATTCCCTTTAATTCAGCATTGAAAAGAATGCTCTACTTTGTAAAAAAAAAAAGGAGAACAAAATATCCACATTTAGAAAATTCTATGAATGAAATTCTAAATTCTTCATCGTTAATTCATTTTAATTAACTTACATCATTTTATAATTGCCAAGGACACGTGCAGTGCTATGACTCGCTGATATTTTATATATTTAAAGAGATTTATTATTATTATCATTATTATTATTATTATTTATATATTATTTGTCTATTGAGAGAAAATTAAAAATAATATTATAATCAATGTGTGATAAAAAAAATTCTTTTTAAAGAAAAAAAAAAAATTTTTTTTCTTTTAAAATTGTTTTTATATTGATTTTTGTTTAATAATTTTTTTTTTCTCGATAATATAAATCTTTATTGTTCGTGATATTTTTTTTTCTGATATTTATTATAATTATCACGATAAATCGTGTTGTGCGTGCTTTATTTATTGGTAATATTTAAAATATTTTCCAATATATTATTGTTATTATTATTTTTTTTATTTTCAATAACAATGACAGTAATTATATAATAAAAATAAATTGCTAGGGATAGAAAAAAAAAAAATGAAGTGAAAAATAAATATTTTCTTATTTTTATTTGTGGGAAATTTATCTAAAATTCTGATTATTAACAATTTTATTATTCTCAGATATTTGAAAAGGAAGTTTTATTAATGCACATGCGGCTCAAGTGCAAAGAACAATATATTGTATTATAGAAAAGAGCGTGAGAATCTAAATTTGCCGAGAGAAGCAACAGCCTTGTATGGAGAGAAAGGTTTTAAAAGGGATAAAAAAAATATTTTAACAATATATATATATATATAATACACATAGAAAGAGATATAAGTGAACACCAACAAAATTACATTGAACATTAATTACAATTAATTATTAATAACAAAAAATTAAAATAATTAAAAATTAAACTAATAAAATAATAAAAAATAATAATTAATAATATTCTGACTAAATTAAAAATTATTACTTCATCAAAACATCAAATGAAATCTCATTTCTAAGAGCAGAAAGTAAAATAATTTCAATGTCAAGTTTATATGATCAAGGACTCTCGTTAAAAAAAAAAAAACTTTCCAATATATTTTTAAATCAATAGAATTACTTTTATTTTTGGGTCTCTTTTTCAATGACGACTGGATTTGAAAAACTTTCGAGAACCTTGTTTTTAAAATTTACATCCGGTTTAATTTTAATCTTTATTTAAAAAAAAAAAAAATTATACTTTTATGTACTTCACGAATTAATTTTAATATATAATACTTCTAATTTATTTATTATTTTATATATTATGTCCCGTTATGTTCCAAATAAATAAATAAATAAATAAATATTATTTTATTTATTATTTATGTAATATTTTTGAAAATTATTGTGAAATATTGGTTTCATAAAATATTATATATAAATATTATAAAATTTATTAATAAATTAATTACATGTTTCAGTAAATAAAAAAAATTTCCTAAATTCGCGGATTAATTAATAAAAAAAAAAATAAATAAAATAATAGATAAATTCCGCTTTTCTTATCAGATTTTTATCAGGTTCGTTACCCGCTTAGTAACGAGATTTGGCGTTAGATATAAAATATTTGCTTGACGTTTCAACAGAAAAGCGTTAAACGACAAAACATATATTATATATACATATATATATAAGTATATACAATTATCTTTTACAACAGCGTAAAAATTATTGTAATAGACAATATATCATGATTACTCTCTTTTATATGCTCAATTTAATAAACAACAATTTATGTAATTTTGAAAACTATTCTCTAAATTTAAATGTGATAATTTGTTTACTAATTTAAATTATGCAGTGAAAATTTCTGATAATTTTTAGTTATTTTAGACTAAACCTATAGTAAAAAAATAATTTTTACCAAATAAAATATCAATATATTATTTTTAGTAATATTTTTCACTGAAATTTAAGTAAAAAAAAATTACTAAATCAAATGATAATAATTTACTAAAAATTAGTGGTAATTTTTTTTTTTTACTAATTTCTAGTAATTTTTCACTAAAACTTTAATTAAAAAAAAAATATATATATATATTACTAAATCAAATGATAATAATTTACTAAAAATTAGTGGTAATTTTTTTTACTAATTTCTAGTAATTTTTCACTAAAACTTTAGTAAAAAAAAATATATATATTACTAAATCAAATAGTAATTTTTTTTTTTTTTATTGAAAATTAGTGGAAATTTCTATTAATTTTTTTTATTAGTAATTTTTCACTAAAACTTTAGTAAAAAAAAAAAAAAAAAAAATGATTACTAAATTAAATAATTTTTATTTTTAATCAAAATAAATTTTTTATTTAAATTAATAATTTCTTTATTTCTTTCTTTATTTTTACCATATTTAATTGATTCAAGTAATAATTTTTTTGAATCAAAAAAAATTTTTTAGTAAATAATAAAAGTAAATTTTTTTTCTCAGCACTGACAGACGGACAGACAGACTGACATAACATAAAAAGAATTTAAAAGAAAAAAAAAAAAAATGTTATAATGATTTATATCTATAAGTGAGCGTGAGAAACGAGAAATTGCCAACAAAATTGGTTTAAATGGAGGGAGGGAATGCATTTGCTTGGGTTACAACCTGTGGATGTTGTAAGACGTCAATCGCTGACTGAAAGGTCGAAAACAAAGTCAGTCAGGGTGAACTGCCCATGTTGAATCGAGCATCATGGACAGCGCGCTTAGTTTAAAACTATATTTACAATAATAATAATAATAATAACAAAAATATGACAATTTTCCCAAAATCGGGGGAAAATAAATTTCACAAAATGATGAATTTCCAATGATTCATTTTATATATCAATAATAATAATAATAGTAATTTTACATGAAACGAAAATTTTCAATTTATATTATTGTCTACTCTTTTTCATTTCATTCGTAATAAACATTCGAAGCATTTATATATTCTGCAAAATTTCCAGCAAAATTATTTAGTATATAAATTTTCATTATTCGCGCCGGTTCAATTTCGAAGAAAAAAAAAAAGAATAATTTATATATTC